ATTCTTGACATTTAAGTACTAAAAAATTTCTTCTTTTTTTTTTTTAAATCTCAATGGTCAAAAAGGCACTTGCATTAGATTATCACATCACATTCACACAGTTACATACACCATGACAAAAAAGGGGGCAAACATGCCTGCATAGCTTGAATACACAACTGCAGGAAATCAGAAGTGATTTTTCCATTTTTGCTTAAGGCAATACTACATTCAAAACTTGGAACCGCACTTTCACCTTAGTTCCAGTGACATCAAGTCACGTTTAAATGTATTTTCTCTTTCTTAGATAACAGTTTGAATCTGATCCTTTGTAAAATTATTAAAAAAAAAAAAAAATTGGAACCTCAAGCAACAGCTTCAAAAGAATCAAAACATTCTACTTGTTAGCTTTAGGGCCCACTAAATCTACTTCCTGACTTCCATCTCTTACATCAGAAAGCTCACTTGAAGTATGAATCCAGATACTTACATATATCGATCATAAACTTCAGGCACCTACGAAATTTTATAAGAATCAATCTCTAATGCGCATTTGAAGCACCAATCCATCTCCAATAGCCAACTGGCTCTTATATCTATCAAAAGCTCATGACACCTATAAAATTTTGTAGACAGTAATTAATATATATTTTAGTTTAACATATTATATAATATGTTTATTAAAAAACTTATATAGCATTCCAACTGAGGATTTGCATATAGAAATACATAAAGGAGTTTCCCTTGCTGGGGACGAAGCTTGGCCAAGATTTTAGAGGTGTTTGTTGTACATTTTTTTATGACACATAAATGTGATATAAATTATAAGATAAAAATAATATAAATAATGATTGGTATATTCTTTAATTTTTATATATTTTACAATATATTTATTAAAAAATTATTATTTTTAAATTTAAATTAAAGGTAAAGAACTTAAAAATTACAAATTTTAATAGTTAAACCAGTAAGTTACTAAATCGAAGATGTATTAATCATTTTTTAAATAATATATGGATAAATTTAATAAGTATTCTATTTGTTCTTTTTATTAAAAATTTATAACAAATTAATTATTTTTTAATTTTAAGGTGGACAAATATTTTTTCTTCTTTAATCATATTTTTATCCTTAAGTTTAATTTTTCATGATATTTTTAAGTAAATAAAGTGCATCCTACTGAGATAATTGATGACTGAGAAATTTGAAGAAAGACTTCATGTGCATAACAAAACAAATTATACTCCATAACTTATTATCCAAAGACCAAAAATATTTAAAATTTTCCAATTATGTTACAATCAAATTCAATTCAAAAACTAAATTATGATCTAAATACAAATAAATCCTAAAATGTTGTAAGATAAAGAAAGAGATAATTAGATGGAAAAGAAAGAATTGGAGAAACATAATGAAACAATGTAAAAATATATGATATTTCTATTTATTTCTTCACCATACATTTGTAAGTATGCAAGTCCTATATATAGGAGTCAATGGGCAACGGAGATTACAAATATTAAACACCCATTAAATAAAAAGTTACAAGAATTAATCACCTACTAATGGGTAAGCCGTTATCCCACTCTAATTGCATTAGAAAGTGGTGTGTTAATCACCTCTAAATAAGAGTTAACCACCATTAGATGCATGGGAAAGTGGGGGAGTTACTCACACTATTATATTGAGCACGTTAATGCATGAGTAAGTGGGGAAGTGAAATTTGAAAAGGGGGAAATATTCATTTATTGATTCATAATTTAAAACTATAAAAGAAAAAACATTTTTATTTCTTTTGCAATGAAATAGATATGAAAACAACCAAAAACATAATATATCATATATATATATATATATATACTTTTTTTTCCAAAATCATAGGGGGGCATGGCCCCCTTGACCCTAACAAAGCTCCAACGTTAATCCCTTGCAACGTAATGTTGGTCCAAACCTTCTGGATGAACAACCATTATCATTCTGGCGGGTGGCACCCACAAGAAAAATGACTGCAAATGGTATCTTCCCCTTTCATTATCTCTATAGTGAAAACTCCCAGAACTTTATGTCCTCCATTTCATTTAACAGATATTGACGATTGTCCTCCAGATTTCAGTTGAGAGTTGCAATTTAACTGCCCCTTCAGAAGTAATGAATGCCAGAGTTGGAGTCACTGGAGCACTCTGGTTCTTCTGATAGCAATTCAGTTTTCCCTCTTTTTGACAACGTTTCAGTTTCAATTATGGTTGAATTATCAACCAAATGAAATTTTCTAAGAGGCACAACCTGAACAAGCATATCATGATAAATTAAAGTGAGATTTGATGATATATAACATAGTAAACAAAAATTTTATTTCATAAATCTAGTGGCAGATGCAAAATCGATTCTGCATATTACTTGATCACTGCTTGAAGGATCTACAGTTGCAACTTTCAACCTTTTTGCTCTAGAGATAGAGTTGGTTTTTTCTCCTTGGTCTTCATTCGCAAAATTCTGACCTAAGGCCTCTATATAAGATGAAAATTTTTTATCAGAGAAAAACAAAAGCAAGTAACCAAAAGCATTGAGTTGACCAAACATCCTCCCTAACAACCAGCAAAACATGATGGCCTAAAAAGAACTAGCAAAACAAAATACACTTGAACTTCTAATTTTATTTACTCAAGATCCTGGGACATCACTTGTGGTTCAATTGAGTGGAAGAAATAACTTCTTCTAGTTTGACCATTAAGGCCGATTAAATGCTGAATTGGAAACCTCAGACAAATTAGCAATTTATGCAAAATGGAAATAGTATTACAAGTCAATAATAAATCAACATGCCCAATTGAACTGAAATAGTTCAAAAGTATAATGGTTCAAAATTTGAAATTAAGGGCTCCACTGAACACTTGATAAAGGTTCAAATGAAATTATAAAAGGGCAAAATTAGCATTTATGCCTAAGAAACGTATACCTAGGTTGAAAGCAAGTGTTACTAGATAGGGCATAGGACAAATAACTCTTAGAAAACATGCTAAGAGAAGAAAAGGATTCCAATAGATTAAAAGTCAACTTACCAGCAGCACTGCCACCCAAATTCTGCTCATAGGAATAACAATCAGGATGCTGCTCTGGATTTCTTGCTGATACGCAGAAGTCCATATTACTTCTTGAGTTCCTTCCTTTACCATGAACTATCTTCCTTTGGGGGTGAGGAGACATTGCTGGGTAGTGTTTGCCCACTGATGCAGAATTGTGTACACAATGACTTTCCAGAATATCATTAGAATCAGCAGTGTTATCCAACAATGATTCATTATGTTCATAGTTTCTCTTTTGCCTGCAGCCATCTTGTAGAACCATAAACTGGGAAGGCATATTAAATAACTCATTGAATCAAAGAAGTTAACAGATATACTGCCAAAAAATGGAGATAGCACAATGAATCTCCGACCTGATCTGATGAATTATGTTCTCTGGCTACTGATCTGGTTGATGGACCCTGCAATTCTTCTTGTGAGCGGCAGCCACAGAGACTCATGGAATGGTGCAACTGCTGGACAAATGTTGCTTCTAATAAATCAAGATATGATTTGTGCTTCTCATCTGTCCAAACCATGAATTGACCCTGAAAAATAGAACATCAAAAATAAATATACACGAACAGGAGGAAGAAAGACCTTTGACAACAAAGAGAATGGTTGAAGTAAATATCAGATTGCAGGGGAAAAATAAACCTGAGTGATAGCATTACCATCAACAGTGACTGGCAATACTTGAAAGATCATTCTTCTGCTAAGTTCTACCTTTTTATTCTTTACAAGCAAAAAGATGATAAAAGTGCTAAACCAATTACTAGAACCTAGTTTGGAATCACTACATTAATAAGCTAATATGTGAGAAAGTTAATTACTACCTGAAGGAACTCAAGATTGTAACTTTAGAGACCCATGTCAGGCATTTGAATATAATTAGATAAGTAAAACCATCCAATATAGACGTTAGTAAAGCAATGAATAAATACGGCCAGCAGAGCTCCATCTCATGCATCATGGAATGAATCCCCCAACATATCAAACACTGATAAGCAATTGAATCCAAGCACTTGTACTTTCATAACATTTAATGAATGGAAAAACCAAGACTAACTAAAATCAAGTAAATAAGTAAATCAAATTATGTACAACCACTTGATCCAGGCTTGGCCTTGACCAACAAGAACAACTTATAAGCAAAACTTCCACCAAACTTTAACTAAACTCCTCTATGTCATCAAAGTGAATGTGGAATATACAAGATAATCCATCAAACCTTCGGTAAAAGGTATAAATTCAAAGAGGCATATTATTTAATAGTTAAACCTAATTTTTTAAGAGAAGAAAGGAAAACTACACAGCATATGCAGAGACTCCCACATCCAGTTAATCACATTTCCAACATGCATATGAGGAGAAAAAGGACGGCTCATTCACTTAGGTAATAGAACTCACTGCCTGACACAAAACCTCCACTTTTCACCCAGTTACCTTTGCTCTGCTGACAATTCTCTGTAATTATGTTACACTCTGCATTCATCTAGAGGTAAAATTCACTTAAATTGGGTAGCAATTTCTTCCAACATTTTTCATCATGAAGAACAGAAGCAAACATCCCAAGCAGGTTATAATTAAAACAAAAAAAAAAATCAAAGTTAGTTACCATATATTGTTTTTTTAAGAATATGATTCGGATTGCAATATCTAAATTCTAAAATTAATATAACACATTTCTCTTGAATCTTCATTTACAATTAAGGATTTTTCTAAATTTTGCCCTTGGGACACAGGTTAAAAGTATTTTTTTTTATAATAAATATGTATAGAAAAATATAAAAATCGATATTAATTTCAATGTCAGATGAGTTTAATTAGTTAGCACACGGGTTAGATAAACTCTACAATTAATACATTCAAGAAAATGAGCTCATCACCAAAAATAGTAAAAAATAGAAATGAGTATACTCAAATGAATCAATTTCAATAAAAATACTCATATTCTTCCATGAATTAAGATCTCCTCTCTTCTATAGTTTCTATAAAAAATTTCTTTTGTGTCTTCTTTTTTAAGAAAAAAATTCAAATCGCAAATCCATATCTTCTAAGAGTTTAAAAAAAAGAAGGCAGAACCAAAGAACTTGCAATTAACTGAATTTTCTGCATAATTATCAATACATACCTGGTATGGCCAAGAACTGAAAAGATAAACAATCTAAATATAAAATAAACCAAAATAAAAATAAAAATTACCTCTCTGACACCTTTCAAATAATGTATGGAGCTTTCAGCGGTTAATCCAGACGAGTCCGAGTTCGTACGAGTTAACCCTTTCATGTAAGCTTCCGGATCCGGAGAAAGCGACGGAATGTTCTGCCGGAGATTCTCCGCCATGCTTTTCTGATTCTCCACGTTTTCCTTTTTTTTGTTCTTTTCTCGATCGAGCAGAATTCGAAAATACTGTTCGGCTGAAGGAAAATTTCCCCAGAATAAACTTTATAGACGAGAAAAGAGGCGGGGTGTTGTTGCCTCGCCTTAATTGGGCCCACATGGGCTGCGCTTTTTCACGGGTCAGTATTCCACGTCAGCGAGAACGATAATATCTTCGGTCAATGTCAGCCAGATATTTTGGGGTGAAAACTGGAAAGGCACGCTTGGAATATTCGATAATCGAGAGTGGAGGTCACGCTCGGTATCATGCATAGCTTTCGCCTTTCGGAGTCCACGTTCGAAACGGATTTCCACTCGCGACGTTTCGTCCGTACAATAGTTATAAATTTATAATATAATATAAAATTATTTTTTTTAATACAAATTAATTTTGATTTTTTAAAAAATTAAAATTTTAATATTAAATTATATCATTTTATTTAATAAATTTTTATAATTTGTGGTGCATATTAAAAGCACCTTTTTAACATTAATTTTCATTGAAAAAAAATTTAATATTTATTTAATTAATTATTTAATTAAAATAATACATGTAACATTAATTATTATAAAATTAATGTTAGTTTTTGTTATTTTTAAACTAATTAATATAAAAAAAATATCA